GTCCTTTTTTTCTCTTTCCTTCCACCTTTGTCAGCATTATGGAATAAGGTTGAGAAACCCTGTTCCAAGGTGTATATTTCTATTAATGAGAATGAGATTAACTGAACTACTTAGCTGGGAGAACAAATATGGATAAGAAACATATTCTTGAGTATCAAATTCAGTTTAGTTTGGATGTGCTGTACCTAAGAAAGCAGATCCACTGATCTGAGCATAGCACTTGAATAACTAGGGCTATGTTCCTGAGATGGAGAGACTTACTTGAGTGTTTTCTCCCCATCACTATGATACCTGACTCACACAGTACATTCCCAACCCTTCCACCTAAAACAGGATGGATTTTTTTCTTCATTATTCATTTTTTTCCAGACTAATTTATACATTTCTTTTGATTAACTACAGCTTTTACTTTTACACTACAGAATAAAACAATGTTATTATTGTAAGCGGTTGCAAGATGGAGATAGTAAAAGGAGACTTTGCGGGTCTGCTTAGCAGTATACAGAGAGGGAGAAGAGACAGAGCAGGCACAGGAGCATCAGATCTGAAAGGAAAGAAAATGGAGCAGTGATATTAGTGCTTATTGTTCCCTTCATTGAAGAGTGCAAGTTCTATGAGGGCTGCACCAAGCATCTGAAAGGGTCATTTCACAAAATGCATAAGTGAAGCACCCCTCTGGAATATGTGGTGGCTTTAACACTTGAGCTGTAGCAAGATTCCAGAAAACAGATGGGTTAGGGTTAAGTTGCGAACAGATGCCATATATACAGTATGTATATGCACTTTGATTTCCAAAGCACCTTTTTGCTTTTGAATCTGAAGAGTAGGTACTACTCTTTCCTATCTTATCCCCTGCCCTTGTGAGTACAGAAGACTATGTTGCTGAAGCTAGAGTCATTTTTAACTGGCCTAATGAACATTAAAGCTGTGCTTTAAACAGCTCTAAGAGAACATGCAAAATCAATCTGATTTTTACACAAACTGATTTGTGGCTCTAGTTATTTTACTACAGTAGGTTTTATTTTGTGTGTGTGTGTGCCTTCAAGTCAGTGTTGACTCCTGGCCACTGCCTGAATGAGTCCCTGCAGATTTATTGGCAAGATTTTCAGAAGTGCCTTGCTACTGCCTTCTTCCTAGGGCTGAGAAAGAGTGACTGGTTGAAAGTCAGCTAGCTGGCTTTGTGCCTAAAACATGACTAGAACTCACAGTCTCCCAGTTTCTAGCCTGGTACCTTAACCACTACAACAAGATTGGAAAGAGAGAGAAAAAGCAACAATTTTAAAATGGTCTCCAAAAACAACTTTGTTAGGCATTTCAAAACATGCAAAGTAGTCATACAAAGCTTTCCGGTTTGCAGGCCATAATCAAAGGCATCAACGTGGTATGAAAGGCTGTCGATGTAGAAGAAGGTTCTATGATCCAGAGACCAATCCAAACCATTGGAGATGTCCACCTTGTCAAAATTTTTCACCACAGAGTGGTCGGGGAAGAGAGTGTAGAGTGAGCCCTGGTGCCGCTCAAGCACCGCAGGGCGAATCTCCTCAGCCATCGTACCTAGGAGAACCACAGAGTCAGCTTGGAAAAAGAACAGAGCACCACAGAAGCAGCATCAGGAGAAAGGGTGGAGTTGGATGTCACTTTCCCTAAGACACAATGGAAAAGTGTAGGGGGAGTGGGCAAATCATTTCTTTTCATGTCCACGATATGCTGAGGTAAACTTTCAAGATTCATGGAAGATGCTTATTAGCCACTGCTTCCTTACCTACATCTTCAAAAATAGAAGCAAGGAAAGGGAATGTAAACAAATGCCCAAAGCCTCTCAGCTGTTAGGATGGTTATATAGGATAGCACTTTGTTCTGTGGACAATCAAATCTAACTGCACAATTTCAAAACCAGAAAGGAGGGAGAGCACAGCCTATTTCTTTGATTCAGATCTTCCTCTCCTGAAACTCTGACAGCTGTTCTAGTTGACTGAAAGAGAAGATAGATAAGATGTTCCACTACAGACTTAATTGGGACCAACCAGCTTCTCCTTTCCTTCTTAGTGGCCTGGTCATAATCCAAATTTGCATATTATATTATCCTTGTAAATCATAAATATGAGAACTGGACCTGTCTTTTAATCTTTCTATAGATAAATGTGAGCTGTTAGGCAAGGGATGGTGCTATTAAACTGTAATCATAATCAAATTGGAAGACATATTTTAAACTCCCCAAATCAGGAGGAGTCTGGTAGCACATTTTCAGACTGTCCCATATTTTATTAAAAGAAATATGCTTCTGTGAGTGGTAGCTCACTTCATCAGATGCATGGAATGGCTAAACTGTGGGATTTAAATCAGGATGAGGTGGGGAGAAGGGAAGATGGGCTGGTTGTGCAGATGCTGGTTACATGTGAGACAAATTACAAGTACCTTGTCAATTAACAACTTAATGCCTGAAAAGTACTGTGTTTGTTGAGACTTTCTGTGGTTGATGGAAATAGCAATTTAACCTCCCTGGTTAAGGTTGAGAAAAATTGTTCTGGGAAGATTTTAAAATTAAAACAATAATTGATTTCAAAGTTAAAACACAAGCTATCCCAATGAAAAGGTACGGTTTTGTGGACAAAAGAAAAATGTACACATATCCAGCACTTGGGACTGAATAGGCAGAAAGGGTCATACACCCAGGCCACAGCAGATTACGGTAATAAGGGCAGGACTGATACAATTCCTAATCATCAGTGTGATGCCCAATGAAATCTACAGCAAACCACAATGACACCAAAAGGATGGCATACCCACAGTGACACCTGCAAATGCTGCCATTGTATAATTGAGTCTTATAGTCTGATGCAAGTATGTGAGTCACAGCACTTGACTTAGATATTGTCACATACGTTTCTTCATTTGCCCACTCCGGCCCTCAAATAACACGTATGATTAATGGCATGGGAGTGTGAATGTAGGACCTCCTTTTCTCCTCAGCAAGTCACCCATCCCCATGGAAGGAGCAGCAGGCAGAGAACAAGGTTCTGTTGAATGGAGCTAGAATGGAGCCACCATCAAATGACTTACAAAGGATACAAATTTCTTAAGAGAGAAAAAAATGAATAAAAATTCCTTAAGAATGAGTTATGACCAACGTACCTGCAAACAGTCTTCCTGCAGGATCCACTTTCCCATCATTGAATCGGTTGTTGGATTTATCCTTGTCCACATGAATAATGGTGGTAGTGGACTTCTTTTTCCAGTCTAGAGCTGCAAACTGGGTTCCCAGAGTAATAATGTAATCACCAGATTTGCGAAGTGATACTGTGCTCACTGGGGCATCTGGAAACCATGTTAAGGGGATTGGGTGGGGAGAAGAAATGGTAGTAACAAAAAATTATAATGTATACTTTTTTATAACTCTCCTTTGGAAGGCATCACATAGTATTTTACAACTCAGCCCACTGGATCCTCCACCCATAACACCACACTGGTTTTTAGTGGTATTCAACTACTAAGATGCTTCTTTCCATTACTTAAGCTTTAGATCACTAAATATTCAAGAACAAAAGCAAACGTTTGGCTTATTAAAATGAAACTGTTTTTCTTACCCACAGAAACACTTTGCACTTCTTTAGTGAGAGAATTCCACCGATAGATCTTTTTGCCAGTTATGTCTACAAAGAGAAGGGAATTTTCCTTTTCCTCCCATACAGGCGATTCTCCAATCTTGCAGTTCTCTTGCACAATGCACTCTACTTTGATAGAAGACATTGTGTCTTGTTTGTCCAAAAGCAATCAAGGAATAAAAGAAAAATTGACCTTAAATTGACCAAAACTGGATATCCTTACAGACTTCAGTATTGGCTAAATCTAAAGAATTTGAAGTTCTAGGTCCTCGGTTGAACAACTGAACAGCTGAACAGAATTCCAATCACTAATCTGATGATCTAGAATACAGTCCAAAAAGTTTATCACCCAGTCAGTTACCTCTGCTTTCCTTGGCTTCCAAACTGTCCCTAAACTTAAAACAGCTGGTATTGCTAATCTTTAATGGCAGCTATTATCTTCACAGTTAAACATTACCAAGTTTTTGCTGAATATGTTTTTTTTTAAATGTCTGCAAATGCTAACAAGTAGGTCAAACTTCAAAAGCCTTTTGGTCAGCATTCTTTCCAAGCAAAATGCTTGGCTTCTAGCAAGGAGAGAAAAAGAAAGTGTGTTGCTATGCTCTTTACATGCAAATACATGTAAAATAACTGGAAAGAGAAAGCAGATCCTGCATTTTAAAAAATGGCCAAATGTACACCTTACAGCTAACAGTACCAGTTACATGATTTCATTAAGCTAAACATGCTTTCTCAATAACACCTTTTTGGCATAGAAAAATTACTTTGTAGAACAATAGATTTTTCTCTTACTGTGCCAAAGGGATGTGAAAATAGCTATGTTGGCACAAAACATAGAGCCACAAACTAGCCAAAAGGATTTTGTAGAGATGCAGATTCAAAGAGTGAAATATGATTCAGAGTACACCGAGGTACACATGTAGCCCCTGTCAGGACCCCCATAAACAGTGTTTCTCAACCTTGGCAACTTTAAGATGTCTGGACTTCAACTCCCAGAATTCCACAGCCAGGCTGGCTGGGGAATTCTGGGAGTTGAAATCCAGACATCTTAAAATTGCCAAGGTTGAGAAACACTGCTCTAACCCAAATGTGTCTTTTCCTGGGATTATAGAAGCTGGGGAGGCCAGCCAAGGATGCTCAGAGAAAGATGCAGCTACTTTAAGATGTTCAATACATGCTCCAAAATGCATTCTGCTCTGGAACTCTCTACGGCCCTACTAGCCAACCACGGTGTTGTTCAGCGCCTCCTGAAATCCTGATCTATGGGATTGCATTACGGGTCAGTCAATCATGCAAACACAGAATATAGAACTCATTAAGCCATTATTATGAGTAGATGTAAACAGGAAATCGCAACAATCCACTGGTATTGTTTTCATGTTTTTTGTACGTTCTGCTCTGAGAACTTTCCTGGGTGGAAAATTTGGGAAATGAATGTTCTAATAAAAACCAGGACTGTTTTCCATGGCTACTAAAAATTGGATACATAGGTTTAGGCTACCATACCGGGCTGCAATAATCCGGACGATCACTAGACTGTAGCAAAGAGGTAGCTAAAACATTGGATGTTTTCCTGCCCAGCTATGGGAGCGACCTTAGGCTCCCGCTGCAGCAAGAGCGTGGATCACAAACGTTTCAAACAAATATGTACAGAGGATTCATTGTACCTTTTAACCAGCCCCTCAAGGGAATTAGGGAGAATTATAAAGTAAATGATTTTCCTGCACTGCGGTGGATGTTCGTGTCGAGGCTTGTCAATTGCAGAGGCAGCGAGACGGCGATAAACATTTGCTTGCGCTGCAGAAAGAGCGCTTCGGCGAAGGGATTCGGGGGGGGGGGGGGGGGGGA